CTATAAGCACGTATGACTATATTCGGAATACATGCCTACATTACATTGATGAACTGGAGCTAGTTCTGTGCCATCCTATGTTATAACTGTTGCATGAGGAATTGCATCCGACATAATTATCCATCATTGATCCATTGCCTACTAGCTTTTCACATATTGATCTTTGCTTAGTTACTTTTCTGTTGCCACTGTTCCGATTGCTACAAAAACTACTACTGTTACTTTTGCCACCATTACCGTTACTTCCATACTACTTTGCTACTAAATACTTTGTTGTAGATATTAAGTCTTTCAGGTGTGGTTGAATTGACAACTCAACTGCTAATACTTGAGAATATTCTTTGGATCACCTTGTGTTGAATCAATAAATTTGGGTTGAATATTCTACCCTCGAGAACTGTTGCGATCCCCTATACTTGTGGGTTATCATCCGACGCTGGCCGGAAATCCGACGCCAACCATCCCGAGCCAAAATGTCGAACTTCCGACAAGTACCGGACGTCCGGACCCTCGCAAGCCATCGGACGGCCAGTAGTTGTCGGACGCCTGATGCCTGTGTGTTGACAGCGCGTTGGGCCGAGGCCCATGTACCCCTTTGTCCACTTAGACTATATATACTCATCCTCCCTCTTTCTATGGTTAGCAAAGGATTAGCTCATTTGAGAGATAGAGCTTTGCTCATCCACTTGATACCTTCTCCATCGGAGTTCACGACCTCTACGGAGAAGATCCCCGAAGTGGATTCAAGACCCCATCACGGGAAGACCCCTCAAGACCTCCTTACAGAGAAGGCCTTTTGTATCGTCCTTTGTTGCGTTTGAATCTTGTATCACTCATTATGTTCATGGATCTAGCACATGTGTGACCGTTTCTCGTTGATTTGAGTGTTTCCTCTCATTTTCCCCTCGTGTTTCCCCTCGTGCTCTTCATAGGATCCGCCCCAATCATGAAAGATCGGCCCTAGGGTTTCCACCCTACATCACACCTTCGAGTACTCGGATTGCGCCATGTCTTCATCTTCGTCCAACTACAAGTCTGTCCACAACAACCGTTTCCATGGTGATGAGGTTCACGATACGAGGTTGGATCTTTCCTAAGGGGGGAGATGATGCAGAGCATCCAACGATCATCCCATGTACACGTTGACCACTCCCCAAGGCCCAAGAGGATATACGATGAGACCTCGACCATACGCCATTAGATACAAGGTGAACTCTCTCCTCTCCGAACCATCACTTTCCACATGTTAGACATGGCTACTACCTCAAACATATGTGCTATGCATGACCCGGAACAAAGAGGAAGACCATGGAAAAACTAGGAGCTTGGACAAGACGGCGAGGACACCAAGTACGAGGAACAAGAGGAAGAGCTGCCAGAAATCTACAGCTCACGGACGTCCGAGGACCCCCGGACGACCGACGATCTCCGGACGTCCGACGCCTGGAGATTCCACCAGCCAGAACGACTACAGCCGAGGCACCCTACAGCGCCCGGACGACCGTCAGATGCAGTACGTCCAACACTCATCAGCCACCGGCCGATCGACCCCGTCCGGATGTCCGGTGTTCCCTGACCAGAGCCAAAACGTTGGAAGTCTGACGCCCTCCAGACGTCTGAACCCCCGCGAGCGACTGGACGATCGACGCCTGTCGGATGTCCGACACTGCCTGTCTGCGCATAGTGTATCGGGCTGAGGCCCATGTACCCGTTTTGCCCCTCACTTGCCCCTTCGTGGCCCTAGACTATATATATATACTCCTTCCCCTTCCTCTAGTTAGGGTTAGCAAAGTGATAGCTCATTTGTATGTGAGCTTTACTCCTCTACCACTCCTCCTCTTGAGAGAGAGAGAGAGAGCACCCCCATGGAGTTCAAGACCTCCATGTGAGAAGATCCCTAGTGGATGAAGACCCCTACATGGGAAGATTCTTCATGGATTCAAGGCCTCCTTCATGGAGATGAACTAGTTACCTCTTGTATCCCCCTTTGTTGGATTTGGACCTTTGTATCTCTCTTTGTGTGTTTTGATCTAGCACATGTGTGATTGGATCAAGTCAATTTGAGTGTTTCCTCTCGTTTCTCCCCTTGCGTTCTTCGTGTTCTTCGGGAATTCTACTCCATTTCATGAAAGATCGGCCCTAGGGTATCCACCCTGCATCACAAGAGCATGGCATGGACAGTTCAAGCGTCGTTGGAAGGATGCCACTGTCATTCTTGAGGCCGTAGCCGATCAAGAAACATGATTTTAGCATTCATATATTGGGATGCCTGGATTTTGCAGTGACATCAACATGCTCGATCAGCCACCTCTTTTTGCCAACTTAGCAAATGGAGAAGCACCACCGGTAACCTTCGAAGCAAATGGCTGCACATATAACTACGGGTACTATCTTGTGGATGGTATCTAACCTAGGTGGAGTACTTTTGTCAAGCCAATTGCAAAACCCCAAGGTAAGAAAGAACTCATTTCTCTCAATGCACAAGCAGCAGCTAGGAAAGATGTTGAGAGGGCTTTTGAGATTTTGCAATCCCAATTTGCTATTGTGCGAGGACCATCTAGATTATGGGATCAAAAATCCTTTGGCATATCATGATTGCTTGCGTGATCATGCATAACATGATCATTGAGAATGAGCATGGACAGGGTTTAGATTACACCTTCTATCACTTGATGGGCATACGCGTTATGCCCATGAGAAGAGGGGAGCGAATGGAACGCTTCATGAAGGTGTACAATAAAATTAGAGACTCCGATGCGCACGATCAACTTCACAAGGATTAGTTGGAGGAGTATTGAAAATATCATGGCGAGGGAGGCGCTTAGTTTTATTTATTTGTTTGTTGTATTGTGCAAAACTATGTTGTATGTCTGTTGAATTTGATCTTGTGAATTTGATGAACTATGTAATAATTTGATATTGTATACAATTTTTAAGTTGATTATCGGATGTTCTATTTCAATTTGTGTGTCTGAACAGCGGTTGTACAACAGCTCAACAACAGCTACAGCGGCCGGTGGCCAATTTTCCATCTCTAGTTTGCATTTTTTTATTGGAGTTGCTCTTTTACATCTTCGTTTTGCATCTTCTGTTGGAGTTGACTCTTTCTCAAAGATGCAAAAAACACTTTTTGAAATGCAAATTTTTATATCTTCTATTTTATATCTCCAAATTTGCATTTTTTTATTGGAGTTGCTTTTAGCCTTTTAGGAGTCTTTGTACAGTGAGCGTCCCAATGGCAAACCTGCATATGGTCTTACCAAGGAGCCTTTGATTATCGTTCACGAGCATCTAACAGGTAGAGGATTTTTCGCCATGAAATCTTTTGTTGAAGACGCTCCCAACATTGGGAGCAAAGTCCTGGTGGTATACTTTTATGTTTAAGATTATACTACAAAAGAGCATGTGCATTGTGTCGACACAATAACCATTGAAGATCCAACATATTCACATGCATCCCATATATGTTGCCGGTTATCCTTCTTCACACCTAAGCCTGCTTCACACCTAAGCCTGGGAATGGTTTGGGTTGAAACCTAAGTTTTAGTTCGGTTTTCTAGTGAGTTGTCATTGGATTAGTCTAAATGATCTGAGGCCCTAATGTAATCTGGTCTGGTTTGAGCTTTAATGCTTATTGGACTGGTTTGGATCGGTCTGGACACAGACTATTTGGTCTCAAATCGTTCTAATCCATAGTCTCATGAACAAATCAGTGACTAGTCATCTCGTTAGCTAGCCGCTAGTATTTGGGTTCGCAATGCCGTCGTTGCCGCGTGCTGGAGATCTGGCCGCCATGTTTTCCTCCCTCCGCCCCCATCTGATGTCCCATCTAGCAGCGGCGCCGGTTCCCTGGTCATGGCAGCAGCCCCCCACTTGGTGGGGGCGGCAGACCGGCGGCGAGTGGTGGTTGACTAGCAGCATCAAGACCGTCTGCATCTTTATTAAGCGCACGGCAACAAAGCAGCAGCTTGTCCACGGTTTCATAGTATGGATATAATCCAAAAACCTGAAACAGTTTGGTTTGGTTTGGATGGAAAATACAGCTAGTTTGGTTCGGTCTGACTTGTAACCTCAATATTTGGATTGGTTGGTCGGAGGAAAGTCATGTAGTTTGGGCTGGTTTTAATCTGGATTTGAAACTATTCACAAGTTTATTCACACCCTCTTCAATGGTGGCCTCAGCACTTACATAATAACAACACATTTGAATATAGTAAATTCTAAGGCGTTTAAATTCTACATATTTTTCTAATCAATTTCATATATAGCTTGTCAAGTTTGGAGTTACGGTTTAAAAGATACAAATATTTTAAGTCTTCAAACTCACTTAAAATAGAACCGCAGGTTGATTAAGCAAAAGAATACGGAGTTTATTGAAAATCAGCAAACAGTTTTTCTCTCTCAAAATAGGATGGCAGGTTAATATCCACAAACTACAGGGTTTCTGCGAAAATAAAACATTTTTCTGGAATAACTAAAACCAGACTGCAGGTTAAGTTCAATAAATAGCAAGGACTTTTCTGCAAAAATGCCAACAACGTACAGCTAGGTGGAGGGTAGAGACATTCCCATAGGTTCACAAAAGAGAACTCAAAAAATGTGCCACAAATTAACAACAGAACGTTTTCTCATCATTCAGTCCTTAACTCAATCAAACTCATAACCGTCTCAATAATAGAGAACTAGAGCAAAATTGAGTCATGTATTTACAGATGAACATGATCTTTTAACATACCACAGTTGCTTGTCGGATCCCGGTTATGAAAAGAATACAATCTTTTTCTAGGAGTACTTGGCATTCTAAACCTAGTTCTTGGCAGTAAGAAGTTAAAAGAGAGAAGAGACGCAGTCAGATCTTTTTAGTTTTCTATGTACAGAAGAAGCAGGGAACTCCCACTTTGGCTGATGGATCCTCCCCTCTGTTGACAACAAAAACAGAAGTTCATGTCAGAAAACAAATGTTTTCCATCCAGAGACGCACAATGTGGGATAAAGCATGCTTACCATTGCTGAGATTTCCTGTACTCAGTTAGCACCGGGTAGATGTTCTCAAAGGCAGCATATATCTCATCGCGCACCTTAGCTCCCGTGAGAACAATCTTTCCAGAGACAAATACAAGGAGGACAATCTTTGGCTGTTTCATACGGTAAATCAACCCAGGAAAGAGCTCTGGCTCATACTGTTAAAATCAAGCAAGCACCAGGTTAGCACAATTATCTGGCCTGAGAGAAAAGTAGAGCTAACAGTGGTCTGGTCGCCAATAAAAGCACAGGCAATTGCGCTATGTGAGATAATAAATCGAATGGCTTTTAGGGCACGCTCGAGGCACTGAATTTATAAATAACCAACTTACACTGGAGAAGGCACCATGGGAATAAGCAAGGCCCTCGAGACGAATGGGAAATTTCACGTCACATGAGGCGACAATGTTCTGGATCTTGAAGTCCTGATTATCAGCACAATCAACTTGTCAAGATATCACAAAAATCATAATATTGTGACTCGATTTAGGTGATAGGAAGCACTACCTTGAATGTAGCTGGGAAGCCAAGCTTTTGGACAATTCGTGCATACTGCGCCAACAAATAAACAGAAAAAAATGTTATATCGCAATTCATCGAATGCCGGGAGTAGGATCAATGGACATTTCTAGGCATTAACCAAAAAATAATATGACCATTGAATTTTACCTTCCTGGCAGCAAGCTTCGAGTGTTCTTCACTCTTTGCTCCAGTGCATACCATCTTTCCTGAAGCAAATATAAGAGCTGTTGTCTTGGGGTCCCTTATCCTCATGATAACCGCTGCAAAACGCTGTCAAAGGAAACAGAATGATGGAGTCAAGAGTTCATAAGTTCAGTCCATAGCTTCGAAGCAGAAGGTACAAGCATCAGCAGCTGTATTACACCTTTGGGTTGTACTCTGCATTACGGGCCTGTAAGGCAATTTGTTTCAGATCCAACCTGCAGTCCAGATTAACAGTTGACACAATGTTCCTGAGTCATCAAGCAAAAACATGATCAGACCTCAATAAAGTTGAGGTAAGGAAGACATCAAGTAGTCCAAACGTGAAGACTGGGCAATATTGTCAGCTCATCTTAGCAGCTACCAGCAATATTTTGGCTGCATTTAAACGATGTCTGAAACCTAGTTACTATGACGCCAATACCAGGAGGTAACCTAGATAATCAAACTCAACATTTTATTCCATTTAGTCATAGCAATAACAAGATATTGCGATAAAAACAAATAAAGCCGGTTAGGTTTGTTTTTATGTAAGCTGGCAACTCGCCATGGCACAAACACAGATGTTTCATCCACTACTATCATGTTCCCAAACCTGACCTCTTGTATTTGCTTCAGGAAGATTACCATTGGAAATACGATTCCCCAACTACAGATAGCATGTCAAACATTTGCCCCAAGAAACTTCCCAAGAGAAGATCTAAATAACGGGTAAGAGGCTCCGGGCAGCAATCACCGCATTATTTCAGATCAATGGGCAAGAAAATGAGACCGGCTAGGTATGGGAAACTGCAACACCCTAAATCAAGAGCGTGCAGAAGGCCGACCTCTATCTGTTTAGATAAAACGCGGGATTCCCCAACCCAACACCATCGAGATCTACGAATCCCGTCCAAATTAGGTGCCACGTTTAGGTTTCATTCACGGCGTAAACACACATCGTCATCATCTTGTGTGGATTCGGACTCACTGGAGGACCGGGACGATGCCGGAGGGGTGCCTGGCGAGATCCACCGGCTGCGCCCCTTCCATCACAGCACCCCCTCCTCCTGCTCTCCCAACACCGCCTCCTACCACTCCGCTCCCGCTCGCACCTCCGCTCGTTCCCAGCCCAAGCACCATCGGGTCCACCGCCGCGGCAGCCATCCGATCGATCTGGCGATCGGAGAACTGCCGCAGGATCCCGATCTGGAGTCAAAGATTTTCGAACGGGGCAGACTTTATGAGGAGGAGGAAGCGGTGAGAGGGAAGCGAATGGAACGGTGGGAGGCTTCGGTGGGCTGGTGGTGGAGGCGGTGGCGGCGGCGGATCAGGGTGCGGGTTAGGGTTCGACGGGGTGGTCGCGAGGAGAGAGATGGATTTATACGGTGAGGGAGTCCAGGTCTCTTGTATATATATATATAGGTGGAGGAGTTTCAGTCCGAGTCGATCGCGCCCGGTAAGGACTGGGTCGGTCGCTGCGGGTCTTGGTTTTACGAAAAATGGACGGAAAGTCCGACCCGGAACATTTTGTTTCCGTAGCTCCTTTTCTCTGTCTATATATCTTTTCCCAAGCGATCCCCACATATACTATGTCCTGCTTCTAGGTGACAAAAACCTCATACGAGGAGATTAACTTCCTCATTGGCAACTGCTAGTGAAGCCAGCAAGATAAGGATAATGCGATGCATTGGATTAGTTGAGAAAAACTTACAATGTTTAAGGCCCAGGGCGGCCTTGGATTTAGAGATATGAATAGCTTCAATGTTGCTATGCTTTCCCGTCAGATATGGAGACTTATACAATGTCCAGAAAGTCTGTGTGCACAGATTTTGAAGGCCCGCTACTTCCCAAACACACATGTACTTGATGCATCACCGAGGGATGGGATCTCCTATACCTGGAGAAGTCTATTGCATGGCCTTGAGCTTATCAAACATGGATACATTTGGCGAATTGGGGACGGGTCCAATGTCAGGATTTGGAGTGATCCATGGATCCCTAGACCGTGCTCACGCCAGATTATCACTCCGAGAGGAGGCAACTTGCTTGATGCGGAGCATCCCACGTTCATCCCATGCACACTCCGACTACTCTCCAAGCCCCAAGGCTACATAAGATGAGACCTCGACTATACACCATTGGACACAACATGAACTCGCTCCTCTCGGAACTTTCACTTTCTACATGTGAGACATGGCTACTACCTCCAACATGTGTGCTATGCATGATCAGGTACTTAGAGAAAAGCCACGAAGCCACCACATCCAACGAACGAGCTAGCGAGGACGCCAAGTACAAGGACCAAGAGAAGAAGCTGCCAGAAATCTACAGCCACCGGACGACCGGTCTGGACCGGACGTCCGACGCCTGGAGTCTTCACCAGCCAGCCCAAGTCCCAGCCAGTGAGACCTACAGCGGTCGGACGACCAACGCTGACCGGACGTCTGATATCCTCCAGCGCCCGGACGACCGGCCCCGTCCGGAAATCCGACGATGGCTTTCCCGAACCAAAACGTCGGACGTCCGACAAGTACCGGACGACCAGACCCTCGCGAGCCACCGGACATCCGGTACCCGTCGGACGTCCGACGCCTGTCTGTGCACAGTGTATCGGGCCGAGCCCATGTATCCCTTCGCCCTCACTTACCCCTTCGTGGCCCTAGACTATATATACTCCACCACCTCCACCATTTGAGGGTTAGCGTTGGTTTAGCTCATATTTAGAGATAGAGCTACAGTCATCCACTTAGGATCTACTCCTTGAGAGAGACCGCGGCCTCTTCGGAGAAGATCCCTTTGGATTCAAGACCTTCTTGCGGAGAAGAACATCAAGACCTCCTCACGGAGAAGACCGGTTACCTCTTGTATCGTCTGTTGTTGACTTTGGATCATGTATCTTCCTTTGTGTTCATGGATCTAGCGCATGTGTGATCATATTTGTTGGTTTCTCGTGTTCCTCTTATGTTTTTCTCCTCGTTTCCATCCTCGTGTTCTTCGTGTTCTTCGCGGGATCCGCTCCTTTTGTGAAAGATCGGCCCCTAGGGTTCCTACCCTACATCATCTTGGTATCATGAGCCACGTTGATCACGATTTCGGAGCCTCCCATCTTTGTTTTCTAGCCTAATTTTGTTGTGTTCTTCTCCAATTTCGAAAGTCCCCACCAAAAATAGCCCCAATTTTTTTTTTGTGATTTGTTGGTTTGACGAAGTTTTGTTGATTTTGATCCATGGATTTGCTTGGTTTCGAGTGGATCTAGCATCCCCCCAATTTCCCCACTTTCCATCCACGAAATCTCATCAATTTTGACCTCAAAATCCCCAAATTCCGCCCAAAATCGCTCCCCGGATCTCAAATCCCGCGTTGACCCCGACCCACCGGACGACCGGCCTTTCACGGACGTCCAGAGCCCCTGGAACGACCGTACGTCCGACCTTTTCCGGACGACTGGAACCCCTAACCCGAGCCAAATTTATGGACTTCTGAGCCCTCCCGGACGTCCGGCCCCTGGACATCCGACCTTGTCCGGGCGTCCGTAACCTGTAGATATCACCTTTGCTCAAATTTTGTTTCGGACATAACTAATTCATCCGAACTCCGATTTTGACGTTCTTTAGCTCATTGAAAAGCTCTTGACATCCCCATTCCCACAAAAATACCACCAACATCTTTTGACTCCATCAAATTTTGACAATTTTGGCATCTTTGCCTAGGGCTTCCACCACATCATCCGTTACACCACCACTGACTTCCGCAACCTAACCAATTTGTTCCCCATCACATTAGTGGTTGCTTGAGGAGTGATTTGAGTCTCCTAAGGTGTCTAGGCTACTTAGGGACGGTTGGCTACTTAGGGACGGTTGCTTTTTCATCAACCACCACCACCACCATAACTTCCGCATAGTTTTGCCCACCTCACACTCCCGCCACCCCGACCTAACCCAATTTTGTTTATGTTGGGAGTTGTGTCTCCTAAGGTGTTTCGACTACTTAGGGACCGTGCTTCCAACTCCGACACCGTGTATAGTCCACCACCTTACCCTCCATTTCCACATTGCGTACTCCACAACCCATCATTGCATTTCCGCAATCCCTTTGAGCTTCCGCAACCACCACCGCATCCCGCTACCACCATTTTGACATTTGACGTTTGAGATTTTGAGTTCGCGGTTTTCCTGTTTCCTAAGGTGTTTCGGCTACTTAGGGACGAGTATTCATCATCTTGGTATCTCCATCAAGATCACCGCCACTCATCATCGCCAAGGACGGTAACCTTCATATCATCTTGGTATCGTGGTATCCCTCCGTTGTATATTCCCGTGCCATTGCATTGATAACCCTTAGCCCATTTTGTGTTACTTGCCTATCGAGAGTAGCCAATTGACTATTGCCGGCAACGTTACTTGTGCACATTAGTGGTCTATACCTTCCATTGCATACATACCATATCATATTGGTATCATATCATCTCGTGTGCCTCAAGTTTGTTCCCGCATATACACAATAGCTATCTTGGTTTGTGCATTCCGCAAAGTGGCCATACAAAAAACAAGAGAATAAAGCTTTTAAGAAAAAGAGAAAAAGCAAAGAGCTTGTAAGCAAGTGCCATAGCATCATACCACATTGCATATAAGATCATCTTGGATCATAACACCGGGAGTCATACATACAGAGCATACTTGGGATAGAAAGTTCATACATTTTGCATCTTATAGGTTGTGCACAAGTGTCGTATCCACCTATTGAGCAATCGTGCTAGCGTGTCTCTTGAGTTGTGCAACACGAGCGTTTTTCGTGGATTCCACATTTTGTGTTCATCCTTGGTTGCATGGCCCCATTTATCTATCCGTGTGTGTGCTTCCGTGTGCCACATATTGCTATTGGTCTACTTGTTTCACTTGTGAATTTGTGAATCTCTTTCAACATTATTGAATCTTGCTAACATTTTGCATTACATTTTTGTGCCGCTATCCTCACCGAACTCCACCATAAGCCTTATTTGTGTAGGTGTGAGAAACCGACAAGAATTGGTACCAATTGTGCTATTTCCTTGTCCACATTGGAGTGATCATTGATCCACTTTCAACCTCGGTCAAGGTACATTTGGTATTCGTTCTTCTCTTTCTACCACTCACATTTTTCTCTTGGAGTGATGGATAGGCAAGGCATTTCATCTCCGGTCTTCCACAACAACGATGTCGTGAACAACTACATCACCAAAGTGTCCATATTTGATCTATAACGACAAATGCAAGGCGCACAATCAAGATTGCGAGAGTGCATTGAGAACCTCTCCATCGACATTCGCCACTTCGAAGCGAGGAAAAGGGACTACATTGACAACAAGCTTTCCGCACAAAAGGAGGAGCAAGATGCAAGGATGGAGGAGATTCGGGCCTTGATCAAGTCTACTTCCCCTTCGTTATCTTCAAGGCGGCGGCGAGAAAATCGATCATCTTCGGAGCGCCCAAGCGATACAAGCGCAAGTCGTCCACGTCCACATCTCCATGGCGACCACCATCACCTACGTGATCCACCTCGTCATGAAGGGCAAGTCACCTCCAAGCAACATGTGCACGACGACGACGAACGACGTCTACTACGAGCTCAAGTGCGACAACGCCAACATCATCATGACGATGCTCACCAAGCGCCTACCTACAAGTCCCAACAAGCCCTACTTCACGGGAAGTCCAAACTTCATGACCACAAGAGAAGACCGCGAGACAAGCACCACCAAGAGCACGCTACGGCTACAACAACCACTTTCGGCATCTTCGCCAAGCGCTATCAAGGCATCTTCGCCTTCGGATGTACGGCATCTTCGCCTACTTCCCATGAGTTCGCCTACATCGACATCTTCAACTACAAGGCGACCACCTACGAGCGAGGGCGACATGAAGATGGCCGAGCTTGGGACATTCCCTTCGGTCATGGAGACGAGCTACGAGGTGCCACATCATATGGGCCTCCTACAACAAGACGGCGTCAAGAAGGTCGAGCAAGGGCCATCCCCTTCGACCACAGCGATGAGCACGAACCTCTTCAACAACATGAACACGACGCCCCAACAGGACTCATACTCCGAGTCAAGCTACGAGACTGCACATGAGACCTTATCTTTGGTCTTAGAGGAGAGTGACGATGTGCTATCTTCGGCCTTCATC